TGATCCTTTTTGTCACTAAGCTGTGAGTAATTCTGTGACAGCAACCTGTTTTGAAGGTGTCAAATAATTAATGATGTGACTAACTTGTTACATTCTTTAATTAGATATTTATATTGATGTTCTGTTGTTTCTATTTTTTAAAATGTGTACCAATGTTATTCAGCTGTCATGACAGGGTATGGTAGATATTAATACTTTGCATACTGCTCACATTCCCACATTCACAACATCTAATATTATTACTCCTGTCACCATGGAAACGGCAAATAATCACCACCATCGTAAGTGTTACTGCGTCACTCTGCCTATCTAACCTGCTGTTTTCTCACTTTACCCCTTCATGCTTTCAGTGGCTGGGACAAAAAGCAAAGCGAAAGGTGAGTTATTGCCTCCATTTTCTTGCTGCATGATTTATGTCGCACACAGTTCCCCAATAAACAATGTGTGGATCGTTCTTTTATCTCCCCCAAGAGCTCAGGAAACATTAACATACGCCGCGTGTTGCAAGGCTTTCTGGGCATTTGTTTAATCTTCACTTCCCTATAGGAGAGGTCTGCTGAACATGCTCGCTCTTCCCCCCGATACAACCTGCTTCACATATGTATAGATTCACACGTTCACACCAGGGAGCTGCCCGCCTCACCCAGTCATGCTTTTTCTATATTTGACCACTGTGCAGCTCCACTGGAGCAGCTGGGGGGGTTGCTCCTGGTTCAAGGACACATCGCTGGTATAGGAAGGAGACGAGAAAGGCTCCTCATTTGCTCTCCGTTCTTTATTTTCAAACCGACCTTCACTAGTTAATGCTTTGTCCTGATTTGTTGCTGGTATAGATGCTCATTGCCACTGATAACAGCTTAATAAACTATCATTTTCAGATTAGTTTGGCACCAAGCTGAGAAAATCCAGCACATATTTGGTTATATATTGGGTTTATTTTTCCTGCTGCTCACCCACAAATGACTTCTACCTTTGAGGTATTTATGTTTTTGATCATTTACAGACCATTTCTCTTCCTTTCATATTGGTTTGCATTTTCTGTGATAGCTCATGTTCGTACTAGTCTAGCATCTGAACATTAATGCCCCACTGTCTCGAAGGTTCAGTGGGTAAGATTTAGGTGAAAGGATCTGAATTGAATATAAAATAATTCTAGTGATGATTTCGCTAGTGTGTTTCATCTAAATTGAACAAATAGTGGTTTCAGTTCTATAAAATGGGCCCTTTATATTTAAATTCTTTATATTTACATTGGGAGCGGGTCCTCTCTGTGGAAGCCGCACTTTACAATAGTCCAAACTGGATAAACTAAACCTCTTTTGAGTTTTTATAAGTGAAGGCTACCACTGTTCTCTTTGGAAGGGGAGGGTGAGGTGAGGGGTATTCAGGCGCAACATGCAGCTTCAACACTAGGTGTCACTAAATTCTACACACTGAACCTTTAAGCCATTTTTAGACATGATCTGTAAATATTACTATAGGGGGCTGGCTGGCTGGAGAAACCCAGGAGCCTCTCACTCTGACATTTGCGTTCTCCAACACAGCTCCTCCTGAAAATGCCAGATTATCCGGAGTTCAGTGTCTGTAGGGTTTTATTAATGCCGCGGTTGTTTCTGTTACCGAGGGATTCTGCAGAAAATCGCTGGGTTGCTTTGAGCATACAGTCGACCAATTTGAAATTTGAGCATCCTTCTAATGTTTTGAAGTGAAATTCAATCTTGCTTCCAACATGCCTTATTAACAATCATATACTCAAGCTTTATGCATATATATGTTATGTTTTTTTGACTTGAACCACCCCACTGATTAATGTCGTTAATGACGGTGAATGAATACTGAAGGCTTTTTCCCTTTTTTCTCCTAATTTTTGAAAATGCAGTGTTTTCTAATTACAGAAGTAATTAGGTGGCTAGTTTTTAATTAGCAGAAGATACACATACAGCATCCGTACCTCTAGAATCTAGTTCAACATTCGGAAGCCTCCTTTTTTCCAGTAATTTCAGGACCCTAATTACAGCTAATAACTTTTACCAATAATGATGAAGATAATGAATATAACCACATGTATCGTGTTGAATATTGATTCATGGATTCTGTCAGTTCTCCTGTTGCATGCTAATATAAGATAATTAACAAGAAAATAGATCATTATGGCAGTTGTCAGATATAATGTAAAGTAAGCTTCTGATATTTTTTCCTCACAAGAAGATTTATTTGCTCTTTCAGGACTCAAATGAACAAAGCAGTGATTTTTTTTTTTTTTGCCAATCTGAGAAAATACAGCAAGCTTACTTTTCATAATAGCAGAGGTGACACATGAAACACAGGTTGCTTTTATAGTCATTTTATAAAGACCTCATTTAGACAGGGTTCAGTGGGCTTTGTAAATGAAAGGAGAGAACATGTTTCCAACGTGGTCTGATAGAAATGATTTTCGTGTGTGACTAACCTGTTATTTGTGAATAATTGCTGGCCGGATTTTCTTCAGAGGAAATTTCTTTTTTGAACGAATTAGGTGCTTTAGTTTTTAAACAGCAGTTTAATACAATTCTATTCAGTTGAAACTAAGTGATGAAGTCACAAATATATGGAAACATCATTGTTTTGGATACATGTAAAAAAACACGTCTAAAGTCTGTCATTAAGTCTGCAGATCCACATTTGCTGTTGTGCAGAAATGTGACTTATCAGCTGCATTAAATCTTGTCACCTGTTTTATTGTTGTGTCTTATCAGTGAATATATCACAGAACAGTGTTCAAGATGTTTAAAGAGCATTTGATTCTAACTATTCTCATTCATTAACACCTCATGGTTCCTAAACCTTTTAAAAGGAAATCCATACTCAAGGGGTGCTGAGAAAATGTGCTACATAATTCACAATCAGCTGCATGTTCCACCTAATTCTATATAATTTAGGTGTTTATTTGTGTGTTACTAGTCCACTAGAGTTGGAGGAGCTTTTTTTTGTCTTTCTTTTCCTAGTTTGTCACTTATCTAGACTTTGAACTCCTAATTTACTACCTGATATTTCTCAATGTGAAGCTCAATTTCAATACAACAAAACCACGTTATCCCAAAGTTCAACAGAGGAGCAGCGCACAGCCTTGCACAGTTGAACGTGCAATTTCCTACTTCACCTGGAGACTTTACAGTATTTCTGACCCACTTTCTGAAGCTGATGCATTGCCACTTTCCTCCTAACCTTTTTTTTTTCTCTCCTGCACAGCAAAAAAAAAAAAACACTGCTAAGAGTTTCCCCCAGCAGGGATATTTATTGCCAGTTCTTTAGATCGTCCACCCCCTACCCCCTCCCGCCTTCCCCACTGTGGAAAATCACAGGGGAGGACGGCGCATGGTACCAGTGGAGTGAGTTTCACTTTTGCTCAGGTGCTATTCAGTAACAGGCACCAACTGTCCTTTCTGATGGAGGATAAATCTGACGGACAGCTCAGTCCATCTCGGTTATTTCCTGTGTAACGGGCATCATCCACCGCTGTGGCAACTCAATCAACTGACTGCATCATTTAAGATCACGATAACGGTGGCGAGCTGTAAACACAATGTGGGGCTGACGCACAGCTGTTGTGCGATGGTGGGTCATCACGACATTGTGCATTGCGCCGTGTGTCGACCACTCTTGTTTACAGCACAGGCAGAAATCCACTATAAATCCCGGTGCAGATAAAGGATGCACAGAGTCGAATGTGTCTCGATAACGTTTCACATAAACACATTTAATGCTCCTGGATTGTTTTGCATGTGCACTTGTTTATGAGTGACGTGTATATACAGTGTCTTGTGCCCTCCATCCTCCTCCTTTGCTCTATTGCTATAGATGCAAATGGTGTGTGAGAGAAAGTGACATAGAGAACATTACTAATCCGGGAAAATGTAATCACAGCCTTTCCTTTTAGCATAATAACATATGGATTTTCTATGACTGAACGAATTGCATATTTAAAGGCCTGTATGGAAAGATTTTAAATGCTCCCCGTTGATTTTAAATCGTGACATTATCAGGAGCTAACTACGTTTGAAGCTGTGGCTGTATAGTTTTCCGCGCATGCATCACTTTGGACAGGTAATTCGCAGATTAGCTGCAGCTAATGGATCAGATCTAGATTTAGTGCTAATTAGTTGCCGCCCTTAAATAGTTGCTTAAATCTCCCCAATCAACGAGTCTTTTAAAATGGCGCCGCGTATCGAGCCCCAGATCAGCAGCTCTGCCACAAACACAGGAGGCTGCTCTGTTGAACCGGTGCGACTTAAATTACACTGTCAATGTAAATGATTGTTTCCGGTGACAGATATGACCTTTAGTCATTATAGAAATAAATTACTTGAAGTGTATTTTTTTTTCCCCCCACTGTGTTTTCCTCCTACATCTGTTCAGAAAAGGTCACTGTAGGTGAAAATAATCAGATATGATGAGGTTACTTCAGGGCCAATTGATAACAGCGGTCCCTTTTATCTTTTCTCACAACCATTTACTCTCAGAGCATTTTCTTTATCAACGCTCACAGTTAAAGGCTGTTAATGAATGGGTTAGCGAGCATTGTCAGATATTATTCAAACATTGGATGAGGTCAGATTCGTCATGTTGTTCACATCCCCTCCTCTTAATGTGCCTGTGTGCATGATGAGTGTTTAAATGTTGCGTTTCTCTAATATTTTTCTGGAAATATGTGGTTTTACAGCAGGTCTTTGTGTCTTTTTTTCTTCTTTTTTTGAGATGAACATATATTTTCTCGCTTTCACACACCTTCCCCACTCCCTTTTCTATAATATGCTTTCCATATATATATTTTAAAAAAACATGCTGCCAACAAAGCCACTGCAAACTCAAGACAATTTAAAATTGCAACAGACAGTAATGGGGTTACTTTTGCAGGCATTAGTATTCAGGCTAAATCTGGCAACAACTCTCCAGTATTTTCAGAGGTGGTCTCATTTGGACTCCGCTGAATGGAACATGTTGTTTACATGATATGCTTCAAAGAGAGTGTTGCTGCACTCCAGTTGCATACAGTATAGAATAATAATGTGCTGAGAAACTCACTGTTTTACTATCAGCTTCTAACCAGCAGATAAGGTCCAGGCAGGGCTGCCATTAACAGCAGCAGCTAACATTATACAGTCATCATTGTTATCATAGTTATTTTATTATAGTAATTTACATATTAAAATAAGACAAGAATAAGACGTCATTGGCTATGTTGTGCTTTAGGCTCATACTTGTGTACTTTGGGCTTGTATTTTAAAGGATGAATGGAGTAGATTTAAGTTTCTTTCATGTACCTTTTAACTGGTGTATGTTTTAGGATGGATGGTTGTGTTGATTCTCAGCAGTCCTCCACAGGAGGGTCAGCATTCAT